GAACAAGCAAGACCAGTAGATGAATTTTTAATGCTTTTTAGTTTATATTGTAAATAAATTGCTAAGAACAATTTTTCATCAATAAATTTTAGTTTAAAAATATAACTTGAAATTATTGTGGTTATTTATTGTCTTTGAATATTTATTTTTAAGAAAGTTTCATCTAATTAATACTTTTATACTATAATAAATAGTAATACTAAACTTTGTCATTAATTTGTCATTAATATTTAAACGAAGTATTTGTGAATTAATTAAATTAAGTAATCTTTTAATCTATTTTCATATATTTGATATTTAATTCTTTTTTCTTTATGTTGAACTGGAATAATTTAATATTGTAAATCAAAAAACTCTATATCGCCAGCACAACTGAATTTTTTAGACGGTTTTCATAGGCTGATTAGATATAGCCTTAAGTTTCTTGCGATTTTTTTGTTATAAGCTTTTGAAACGTCTTCATCGAGCTTTGCATACATTTTATTAGATACTACTTAGCTTTTGAGATATTCAAACATAGTATTATAAATAATTTAATTTATTATTTTTTATATACATATTTTTTATTCTCGCTATAGGCCCCTTCCTTAAATAATTCAACGATTAATATTTTTTGTTATGCTCTATATTTCGACTCTCCTTGAGAGTCATTATCAGTATCGTCTATATTGCAATATAGACGATAGAATAAAGAGGATGACGTAGATATAGTTTTAGTGATATTAATTTATGTTAGATCGTGATCCTGATGATTACTTTCAAAGAGAATCGAAATATAAAGCATAATAAAAAATATTAAACGTTAAATTATTTAACAAAAAGGGACCAATAACCAGATTAAAAAATGTATAACCACCATAATAAAAAAAAAGGACGATAAATAAGTTCAAAAAAGTTTTTTTTAGTTTCAAAAATAACAAAAAGTGTCAAGAGACCATATTAGGTGCATAGGGCGCTTTGTCAATTACAGTCGTTGGTCAAGTTTTTTTCAAGAACCTTTCTAGTATTTTTATGAACAGTTTTCAAATTATAATTTCCGTATATTTTTTACACAAAATTTGTAAATTTTTCCATTTCCAAATATCTTTTCTTAAGTGTTAAATGAAGTGTTTCTTAAGAGAGTGACGCATCTTTATGACGAAAAGAAACTGCTTAAAAATTAGACGGATTCGAATAGCAAAGAAAACCAACGACAAAAATTTTATTTAATTTATTTAAATTTGACTGACTAAATTTCTTTCTTAAATTAAATTAAATTTTCAGCATAATTTTAGTTTTGTAAAACAAATAAAACATTAAATAACATTCCAAAAAATTAACCTAATATTGCTATAGATTTCGTATAACAAATACCTATTGTAATAATGTTAGCAATATACGAGTACCGTCACTTGATATTAAACTGAATCATCTATGACTGCGTTTGCTCATTCATTATCCAATTTAATTACTATAATTTTAAACTACATATTATTATCGATTTTTTAAAATTACTATTTACTGACAGTAGAAAATTTAATCCATAGATCTATATCATAATTTAAATACATCGTGTATGACAAGCTGCAGCGACAATAAATAGTTAGTTCTCTATTTATATATAAATTAAAAAAATCATTATTGCATTTTGGCATGCCTATATAAATATACGCAAATGTGATATATGTATATATAAGTAAATCACATATATAAATATGTCAACATATAAATATGTCAAATAAATTAACTTAAAATGATTTTTAACGATTCATGTCTGTTAGTTATTAATTATTGCATGTTATAAACAAATTAGAGAAAAAAGTTTAATTGTTTAAATGACCAAACTATATTTTAGTTTAAAATGTTATTAAAAAATAGTTGAATAGTAAATAGTTTGTTTATAGCATAACTATACATATATGTTTGAAAAAGGTATTAAAACTTAAACAACCATAGACACAATTTTTTTTTGTTTTATATTATCATTTGAATAATTTTTCAGTATACTTACAAAACTATTCATATAAGACTAAACAGTTTTCTTAAAGGAATAAGTAAGAAATCAGCAAAATATATTAAATCTATTTCAAATTGGTGATTTTCATTTGAACTTTGAATCGGTGTATCAAGAAGTCCCTTAAAATAAGTATCTCCATATCTTTATATGTACATCCATTGACTTGAAGTTCACTCAAAATTTCATGCCTTGTCTCTGTTAGACAACAAAAAGACGATTGAAAATAAATCATATTCTAGAGCTACCTTATAGAACTTGAAGAAATTTTAAAAATTTGGTGTATATATTATATTAAGATAATGTAGATAGGAAATTAAAAGATAAATTATAAGTATAATGATAGGATAAGTAAGCAACAGTTAATTTTACTGGAAGTTAATTCTTTCTGTTATGTAGTATAAGTATTCATTGAATAGGGTTATTGTTTTAAAATAATAGATTCCAAATAAAATTGCAAAAAAAATAACTTTATATAAATGCAATAAGTTAGTAAAACTGTTTTGTCTACTTATTAAACATGTGCCAAAACATTAATGATTGTTAAGTCAAAAACATTAGAACACTCAATGTAGCTTTTTAAACTAATAAACTTACTTTCTGTGTTCTGGAAAATAAATAAAAGTATACATTTTTCATGTTGAGTCTTTTTCAAGTTAATGCATCTGGGCACTTTTACTCTTTGATAGCTGGGGGGTTGCTGCAGAGTCCCACCCTTCTCACTAATTAATTTATGTATTCCTCAAAAGTTTCGTCATTTTTCGATGACTGATCTAAGATCTGCGTTCCGCCTCGTGCGGCTAGAGATTATTCTAAGATTAAATAGTGCTTAGTAGGGTAGCATGTCAGTTTCCGCGAATAGCTTCAAGGCTATTCAACCATTTTCAATGCTATTCAACCATTTTTACAACTATTAAAATTATTACTATTTAGGCTTTCGATAATATCTAAATATCAATTTGTCTTGAAATGTAATCACATCTAAGAAATGCCATTGAACTTGCATTGTTATCTCCAGTAGCTGAGGAAGGATTGTATTAAGGTGGTTAATTTCAAAAAAAAAAATTTTTTTTGGCTGTTATTGTATTATGTATTATATTGTCACACTGACCATCTCAATGGCAGCAGATAAAGAAAGGTGGTGTATAGCAATATTTTGAGAACTGATATTTTTGCAACTTACTGTATCATTTAGTTTATACTCCTCATTGACATAGATGAAGTACATTTTAGTTATCAATCACAGATTAAAAAAAATCAAAAATAAATGGCTGGGTTGCTTTGCAAAAATTGAAGATTATTAAAAATTTCTAAAGAATCCGGTAAATAAAGCAAGTAATTAAAACATAAATATATTGTAGAGTTTATACAGTTTTGTTGGCAGACCCTTGACAGAATATAGTTCTTCGTAAATAAAGTAATCAATCTTGTTGTGCAAATGTGTGTCAGGAAAGATGAAATTAGCAATCTCTTCTAATTATACTAAAACTCTAACGACAGTAGTGATAATATTTTTGGATGATATTGAGAATGTTAGAATACTAAACAATTTTCTATTCTCCATTTACCACATAGATATGATAAGTAGGTACATTAAGACCGAAAAGTTTTCGGAAATTCTCATTTAAAATTCGCGCGCTGTATATTTTTCGATATTTTAAGTTTATGTAGTTTGGCAGCAATTAAGGTAATTACTATGCCAAAAATGAGCGCGATCTGTCAGACAGTTCGTTTACGGCAGCTGTTGAAACCAGTTCACCTCAGTAGTGCGTTGCGAAAAAAACAATGGAAAAAAATATTGAACAAAGAGTTTGCATCAAATTTTGTGTTTCGAACGAAATTTCGTGTGCAGAATCGTTGCGAATGCTACAAAAGGCTTATGGGGAATCAGTTTTATCGAAAACTCAAGTTTATGAGTGGTACAAAGCCTTTCAGGACGGTCGTACGACCGTCGAAGACATTTCGCAACGCACTACTGAGGTGAACTGGTTTCAACAGCTGCCGTAAACGAACTGTCTGACAGATCGCGCTCATTTTTGGCATAGTAATTAAGGACAGTGCTGCCAAACTACATAAACTTAAAATATCGAAAAATATACAGCGCGCGAATTTTAAATGAGAATTTCCGAAAACTTTTCAGTCTTAATGTATATACAAAATTTTCTTTTCAGATCTCCTATTTTTTATATTGTATTGTTTCTCCAATTAACTACCTTGTTTCTTGAACTGTTTTTTTTAAATTTCAAAAAATTTCATAACTAAATATTACGTAAAAAGAAATTGTTTTTAGTTCTAATATAGATCGCATAGGTATAACTTATAACAAAAAGTTTGCAACATTCTGAAGAATCCTGTTGAGAGGATTACTGGTTTATATAAATTGAAGAAATCAAAGATCGTTCAGATCAAATAAGATTTTGTGTAAAAATTTTAGATACCTTGTAAGCTATCGTTTTTGAAAATATTACGAAAAAAAAATTATAAGGGCTGCTATAGACATATTCCTGCAGCTGCTATTAAAAAAAAGCGCGAGTCTCGTCTCGCACTAATTGTGTTTTCAGTACAGCTTTAGTTGCATTGACTTTAGGAAAAGTTATTTTCCTTTTAATGTTATATATTGTTAAACAAATTAGTACTTTTATTGATTTGTACTATACACTGTTTATTTTATCAATTTTTTTAAAATACGTCAGTTTCAATCAAATCTTGCATTAATAATGTATCAATACAATTGAGTAAGCCAATTTCAAAAATGCCCATAGCATAACATTTTTTTTATAACCATTGCGCCATTTTATCCTTGACTGCAATTTCCGTTTAATATGTGTGTTTCATTTTTTATTCCTTTAATATTTTACTCAGAGTATATACCAGATACATATACTCTGGTATTTGTGTAAAAATTGAATCAATGTTACGATTTAATATCAATCCAAAGCTACAAGATTTTACTTTCAATTTAACCTTCAAGCAAGTTTCATTTAAAAATGTCATTTAATATACTTACCGAAACTTTGGCTGACCCATATTCCCACCATATCCAATTTCAATAAACGATAGTATACATTTTCACCTTTTTCAATGTTCATGAAAAGATGATAAACAAAACTGCCACACCACGGAGCTACTGAGCCAAATACATGACAGAAAGATAAAAAACGATATCCTTTCTCCCATGGCATAAGGCCAGGCACAATAGCCAAAATGTAGACAATTGGTATTGCTAAAAAGAACAAAAAAGGAGAATATTATTAAGGAATTTTGTTTGAAAATTTTTAAAGAGAAATATTTAGGGAAAAATATTTTTAAAGAAAAATGTTTGTGTTTTTAAAAATATTTATTTATTAGAATTATTGAATTTTTCGGCATTTTTACATAAAAAAATTATTAATAATAATAATATAATAATAAAGTAATAATATTTTATAATTTAAGAGTACTAAAGTTTATTTATGGAAAATAAAATAAGAATTTATTTGAACCTTCTCAAACACTCCATACTTGATCCTCAGGCTGTAATACAATAATTTATAAATTTGGTTTATACTAATACTATGTTCACACAGCCAAATTTCCTTAATTTCGTGAAGATAAAAATAAGTTAATTTCGAAAGTGTTCATACTGCCTCAAATTAAGGAAATCATATGTTTTTTGTTTACTAATCGAATGTTATCTGGGAAATTTTAAAAGTTGATTATTATAACTATAAAGGATGGCATTCAGTAGTTTTTTTAGCTTTAGTGGATTTCTGGTATGAGAGTTATTATTTTTCTCTCTATTTTAAATAAATAACAGTTACAGTTCTTTCTCTATATTCAAATATAAAAATTCGCACTATTTTCCTTAATTTCGTTCTAACCTCAAAACTGGATTTTGTCTGGAAAAAACAACTTAATTTCGCTAAGCCGAAGATGAAATTAAGATTTTTGCGGAACTAAAGTGTGTCTAACCATAGTATAAATTCGTTTTTAGATAAAAAGATTCCAATGTTAACACGTACACAGTTTGTCATCAGCATGTATTCATTGTTGTCAGTAATTTTTTAAAGGTATTACGTGACATGGTCAACAAATTTCCATAAACATCGTATGCTTGTATTTATAAAAAGTGTTTTTAGATTTTAGAATTAATAGTTAACAAATAATTGCAGATTTCTAATTGCAAATATCTTATAATGAAGAAGAGGGTGTATTTTTCTTTTTTGTGAAGACTTGGCAACCATTTCGTTTTCAATATTCACGACAATTTGTGCTACTTTATAGCACTTTTTTTACAGACGATAAATACGAAATATTTAAATGTATTAAACACATAAATATTGCAAATAATTAAATATATTTTATAAAATATTTATTTATTTATTTTAATGGAATACAAACAAATAAAAAAACTTTTAAGCTACCCAGTGTATTTGACCCTGACGGGACTCGAACCCACAATCTTCGGATTCGAAGTCCGATGCCTTATCCATTAGGCCATACTGTGACAAACTTTTAAAAGATTTTCGCGAATTTTTCAGTATATATGTATTTTATATACTAAATCAAATATATAGGAGCAGCAAAAATTTACAATTTTTTTCGTAATTAAAAGGATTTATGTGTACTTATATATTGGGTAATTACTGTTCTGCTAATATCTATAAATAATATACGATAATTTAAATAATATAATAATTTTATACATAATTTATATATATATAATAATTTGATTGAGCTGTTATATTGCAACTTTCATGTTATATGCAGCAGTTATGATTTGCGAAAACATAATCGTTACATTATTAATAAACTGATTTATAGTTAAATGTATAAATGTTATTAATTTTTTATTTAATAACAATTAAATAAAAGCTATGGTATAAAAATATTTCATTTCGTAAATAATTAAACAATTTAAAAAAAAATGTGTTCTCAACTAAACATAATTGTAGTGCTACATGCCGGCACTTTTTTGGTTTGTTAACATTTTATTAAAAATATAATTTCATTTTGTACAAAACTTAACACCAATTTTATTTTATATACAGATTAATAAAAATGGTTAAAGTATATATAAGTAAGAAATCGTACTAAGAGTAATGGAAATTTTTCCTGTGCAATTTATTTATAAGAAAAAACAAACACTAATCGGCCGCCCCGGTGGCATAGTGCGTAACCAATTGCATTGCCATACACCGGGGTGTGGGTTCGATTTCCACAAGGGGCCTGGTAGGCGGCTGGAAAATGATACTACAGCAAGAATGCCTATATTCTCATAGTAAAAACCGTTTATATCCAAATATGAAGAACCAAGGAAACCGAAAAACAAAAAAAAAAAAAACGACGAAAAACAAAAAAAAACAAAAAAAAAATTTTTTTTAAAAACTAAATCGCTGTTTTGTTTTTAAATTTTGTTGTATATCATGCATAAATACAATATATATAGTAATATTTTAAAAGTTCTGCCTAATTGAATCATAAAGCATTTTTATTATTGCAAATAATAATTACTTTAAAAAGAGTAAAATGAGAAGAAAGTAGTCTGTTGGTAAAGGATTTTAAATATTTTCAAACCCTGCATTATTAGTTCGATACTGAAGTTTTATAATTTTCAACTTCATGTTGATAGGTATAGTTGTAATAGTACAAAATTCTAGGCTGGGATTGGTGCTCAAACTTAAACAACTTAATCTATACCTTTCTTTGTTGTGTTGTATACCAATACTTAACCGAATCTTAACCAATTTTTAATTCTTAATACCACTTATTAAGTTTAGGTTGATATCAAACTGCCTAAAACCTATCTTGTTGTCGATGGATTCCCACAAAGTTTCATTTTAGGCTCATTCTATTTTAATATATTTATTCGATTACTGGCTTTCTTGGCGGATATCACAACCGTAGCTATAAATCTTAAGACATAAACCTTGGAATTGAAGGGTCTACTATCACCTTCATACATAGATAGCTTAAATTACTTGGGTGGTGTTTTCACTGCTAAACATAATTTCATTTTATACGTTATTTCCGTCATTAAGAATGCCAATTTTTTACTCCTTGTCAAAGTGATCTGTGCCAATACAATCTGCTAAACATGCAAACCAAACTGCTTTATTACAAGCAACTAGTTTGGACAGACTTTGCATACTCATATCCTATTTAATACAAAAAAGTGTGCTCCGAGATTGCGTTAACTACAAGCGCAGACTCAATGACAGACATTTTCCAACTGCTTCACTTGTTAGACCACTAACATCACTCCATTGACTTACTTTTGGTTATTCCCGACGCGAAGATATTTTACTAGGCGTCAACATTTTTTCGCTGATATTCTTTATCCAGCAACAATTTTCCATCAATCTGCTTAATAGTATCAGATACTAAGCATATTCAATTCTTCGCTCTTTAACGGAACGATATCGTCTGCATCTTTGCTGTAATCCCGCTATACAATTGTGCTTACAACAACCACTTGCATGAAGCTTTAGTCAGTAATCATTGTTATCTATGTGTTTCCTTTGCTTACTTGTTTCCAATTTTGGCTTAGATACATTTATTGTCTAAATATTACGCCTTCCATATTATAATATTTGTCTTCTTATTGATTATTGGAATAGGTTTTCCGCTTTTGACCTTTATGATTGAATGGTTGAAATTTGTCTATTTTGCATTTTTAAGAGGTGGTTATAGTGGGTCTCACACTGTGGCATTCAATCTCTTCCCCCTCCCGAAAAAAAAGTCACCTAACTTAAGCTAACCTTGGAAGTTGTCTATTGTGATTTGACTCTATGCATAAGATGTGATTATAATCATAATTAGTAAAAGTATTTCGTCGTATGAATGCCTGCATAATTTGATCCTAATATTAACTTTTTTGAAAGTCTGGTGTTAATTGTTGTTGTTGTTGTGATTTGAGTAAGTGCTATTGCGCACTTTTACTCTTTTGTAGTTGGGGGATTTATCCCTGCCCCATACTAAGCTTTAACTATACTTGAATTTTTATCATTTATTAATCTTTTCACTGATGAGGGACCGTAGATCAGCATATTTCCTGTGCGTTCTGAGATGAACTTAAGGTTTGTTAGGGGGGAGGGGGTGGGGGGTTGGGCAACCTGTCCACTTTTGTGAATAATTTTAGAGCTCTGTCCTTGATATATTTTTTCACTGAGTTGTGTTAATTATTTTACTTAATCTATATGACAATTCTGTAGTGCTTACTTATGTACTTTGAGAAAATTAAATTATCATTAATCATATGGCAGTAATACCACACAATAAATGCAACATTTATTAATGTACAGAAAATATTCTGTCAACTAAGGTATTCATTTATCTTCTGCTTAAGGGATTAAAAGTAACTCATACGCATCAACACATTGTATTTTATTACATTTATGCTTTGATGGAGCAGGCAACATAAAATGCATATAATCACATAAGCTGTGAGTATAAAAATTAAAAATTAAATATGATTACTCACATGTCTACAATTTTTTTATTTCCCCCAAAAACATACATTATTAGGAGAAAGTACTTTCTCTTAAGTGTAACCGTATGTGGGTTTTTTTAATAACTTTTACTTTTTTTCAACGGTGTTTATAATCGCTTTAAATATTAACAATGCACGCACAAAATTTAATTAGCTTTGGCAGTGTGTACAGATGGTAAAATGGTCTGCATTAAAAAGTTATTTTTACTCATCAGTAAAGTAGCGATAAAGTAGCAGTCCACATAGGTATATACCTATAAGTATATATCCTTGAAAGTTAAAAATGACACACGTGCTCTAACTAAGTACTACATTCTTCTAAACGAATCGAAATCAAATGACACTTAAGCTGTCGTAAATGTGCTTCCGATTCAACCAAAAATAAATGACCAATGATAAATGCCAAAAGGTAAAAGTCAAGAGGCGATAGTTGATATATTGGAGTGTGTTGTTGCCTTTTTCGAAAATATCTTCCATTCGACGTGTACTCGAAAACAAATTACTTAGAGAACAACAAATAAATACTTACTAAATTGTATGTGCGCTGCTCCTGTGAAAATATCTGCACATTCACTACAAATTTATAATGTCAACAAACAAAGAAGCATGGAGTCTTGCAAGGATGACAGTCGTTAAAGCATTTCACTTCGGTACGTCAAGTATAATTGATTGTGTCAGTGAAATTACGTTGAAGAAATGTCATTTGGGGGTACTTCGAAAATGAAATAAACGCTTCTTTTGTTAACATTGAG